GCCTGGACGATTATAGTATAAACAGTATCCCATCTAATACTCGACCAATCAGAGAATATTTGGACGACGAGACAATAATTTATACTCGGCAAGAACAACAAGATTGTGTACAATTTTTAGAAGCACTTATTTACCGTAACAGACATACATTTGATTCATTATTTGGATTTCAAGAATTGTATAGCAGTCGTTGCAATTTGTGTAGTCACACAACAACTAGTGATGCACCGACGACCAGTTTGATCCTACATTTGGATATTCCACAAGACAGATCACAAACTCTGCAAACATTATTTTCAACTGATCAAAATGTATGGTCTAGCATATCAGACTACAGATGCAATAATTGTAATAACGTTGGAGGTTGTGAAAGTAAACATCAGATAATATTAGCCCATGAATATATAATAATTCAATTAAAATTATTTACTACAACCTTCATAAACGAACAATTTGTTTCCAACAAGATAACCAATTTAAAACTTAGCGGTGTACCGTCCAGTACTTTAAAAATTGCTGGTGCGAGTTACAAACCTCAAGCCGCCATATTACATATGGGACAAAACACGAGCTCTGGCCATTATATCGCATATCTGAAACAAGCACATTCTAATTGGGTTTCCGCCAATGACACAACAATTGCTGAAAAAAGGTGGCCGAACAACATCAAAGATGTATATGTTATCATTCTACAAAAAATATAACAATATTTTTGAAGTACCTAAGAACAATCTACAAAAACTATACACCAACCAACAATAATATGTACATAAATTACATAAAATATTAATTATCTGATTAACATAGCATTAAAAAAGGAACGTGTAAACCGCCAACTATTTAACTACATAATATTATTATTATTTTTATTATGTATGAGTTGCCAGTCTCAAGCCTGGATAAAAGTGTGAGGGCGCTTACCTTGTAATAATTGTTTTCTCTTTTTTATATAAATAAGTATAGATCCAGATTTTATTATTATTCCTACAAAAGTATTTATTATTAGAAATTAACCATTGATCACATTTGTATTTATTTTTTGTCAATCCTTCATAATATTATAAAAATGATTTAAATATTTTAATACAATTTGTTACATTACCAAATATGTAACATTATAATATGTTTAAAGCAATTCCCGCGGCGTCGTCGGTTCTAAACTGTAAAAAAAAAATATTCTAATACAATAAATGTTTTTTTAACACTTTGAATTTTGATAATACACTGTTGGCAATATTTATCTTAATACATTTCCAATTAGTATACAACTAATAAATTTATTAAATTTAAATCTATTTATTCATAAATCATAATACTCTGTAAACATTATGCATATCATGATTCATCTTAATGATACTGAAAAAAACTAAATAATACATTTTATATACACACATAAAAATATTAAATACATTTAAGATAAATACTATCAAAAAACTACTGTTGTTGTGCTTATAATTTTTTAACAAATTAAATTGGTGTTTATTTTTACAGATATTCAAAATATTTAAACAATTATTAGTTTGTAAGCATTTGAACCATTTTATGGCCTTAATATGGTTTAACAGTACAACATGTTTTACATGTTATTCATATTGTTAATGTTTTATAATTCTAAATCTTTGAAAAAGTCTTCATTACTCGGTGTATTTTGTGATACAAAACACTCACAAGATTCTGTATTTAGGTACTGTACTTTTAATTAAACTGATGTATCAACTGTTAATTGTATGAAATGTAATGAATATTATAATTATTAAAATCAGTAAATGTTTAATAGTTCATTGTTCGATTACAATTAATTCTAATCCGGTCAAGTTCATTTGAAATAGCTCCACAGTAAAGTAAAACCAATTTGAGATGTTAAAATTTGGACTAAAATCCACAGAGTATAACATCAGCAGGAATAATTCAGGACAAATTATTTGTTATATTTGCATATTCTCCATCAATGACATAATGTTGCCATTTACTGTATCTAAATAAATAACATAAGCATAAAATAATTAATATATCAATAATCTTAAATAAGAGACAAGAGTCTTTAGTGTACCTAAATCCCAGGCATGCACGCTTGACGTCATGTCAACATTGTCAACTGGTCTGCAATCGGTAATCAGAATATCAGATAGCGGGCAAACCCATAATGCCATAACGTTTCGAAGAAAAATTTTGACTAAAATAATATTAACGATTATAATTATAATATAAGTTACCTACTTCACTACATAACGGATCTCCCTACGTCGGACAATTCGGTAGTTGATTCACACTGACAATGATAATACATTAATATGTTATTATCCATAATTAGCATCTCTCAACGTTATTTTTTTATTTTAAAATGGCAAATACCAGTCGGCAGATCCCATAACGTCTTCATAGCAATACCCTTCGGATCTTTTAACAATATTACGCTTATTATAGTTATCGACTGAAGACTACACGTTTATAGAACACTCAACACACCAGTTACAATTATGATATGCCCCATACTTCATAGTAATACGCGTGTCGTGTGTATATTGGATCTTACAACGTCAATTATTCATTTTTATACATTGTATGTAGATAATATCACTGTATCAGATTAAAACTCGAACAAATATTCTGTAGGTACACGGTCTTACAAGATATATTATATGATCCGTGATTCGTTGAAACGTCTATAAGCTTCCACTTATCAAACCATTTTTACAATTTTATCCCTTAATCTCTGCTATAACCAGTAGTTGGCTTACTCTAATTTTACTACAGGTAAATAGCTCAAAATAGTTAAATCGTAACCAACGCTTACGGGCCCAGAGAATTTGTATACACCAAATATAAATAAGAACGCTGAACGTTACGAGATCCATTGACCTTAGTAGTATATACTATTTGCGTATTACAATATAGTGTATGGAAATCGTGTTACAATTCGTTAAGAGATCTGTTTAAATATAATAGTCAGGCCCTGATTTACGCAAGTGCAGATGGAGCACTTGCACTTGGCCCCCAATTTTTGGGGGCCCCCGATCTCCGTGAATTGTAGAAAATTTTCTGTATTAAAATTTTTTTTTAAATTAATTATTTTTAATAAATTATAATTCCCATAGTATATAGCACAAGTGCTAGGTTACTAAAACATAAAATATAATATAAATTATAATACCTATGATTTTTTAACTAATGAGTTTATCATTTCCATCTGAAATAATGTGTGTTCATTTAAATGCATTGTGTTATGATGAATATTTTTAATGGTAGGTACTTGTTTACAATTTAATAAAAACTTAAACGTCAAATTTATCAGTGTTTGCAATCTTTTTAAACTAATTTTTATATCTAGTTGTTTTTTTCTTTATGAAATGGTTAATTTAAAAAAATATATATTTTCAGTCATTAAAAAATGTGAACTAATGTAAATACTTACCTACTAATATTTATTTGTTTTATTATATTTTATTCATACATGTAACTTTATAAGATACCATCTATTCACTGTACAAGGGCAATTTGGCAATTATGAACTTAGAAATATAAAAATTAATAAATAAATATATATAACTACATATAGGTGTATGTATGTAAATAAACATTTTTATTATTAGCAATAAAATTGCTGCAGTACATATGAATAGTCAGCCATAATTCACAAGATTTTAAAAAAATTAGCTCAACATATTTTTAAAAAAGCAATAATTTAATGTTGGTTTCAAATTTCTAATAATAATATAATACTTTCTAATGTTAATCGTTGTAAAAATTGGTATCTAAAATAATGTACATATTATATTTATACTTTATTTTGATTTTTTTTAAAGTTAATCCAGAAGTTAATCCTGTTGAAAATGATAATGATGATACTTGTATTTGTGAAAGTAATGATCAGTCAGAATTGATTTTAAATACAACTGTTGAACGTTCACCTCCTACATTGACATCAATTGATTCTTCTGGTAATTTTGTTTTTATTATGATAATAATGTATTAATGTGATACTTATTTAAAACAATCATTTGCAGAAAAAGAAATAAATGTTAATGACAAAAAAGATGAATTAGATTTTTCATCTTCTGAAGTTGATTGTTCTGAAACTGTTGGTAAAAAAAGTTATGTGGAATATTTTAATAATATTGGAATTTGGCCTGATGTAATAGATGATACTTTCCGTGAATACTTCATAATGAAACTACCTAATCAAAACATCTGTAAAATTGGTTCATCTAGCAAGCTTATCTCGGGTGTATGGCGTAAATTAAATGATTCTAGTTTTTTTTTTGTGTTAAAAAGAACAATACATATAAAAGAGAATGGTTAATTTATTCTGATGAAGTTAAAAAACTATTTTGTTATGTTTGTAAACTGTTCAATCCAAGTGATAAAACACAACTTTGTCGAGGTGGATTTGTTAGGCATCACTGGACACATGTTAATAGGCGCCTAAGTGAACATGAAAACTCATGCGCACACCGAAAATCTGTTTGTAATCTTTCTAACCGTTCTGCTATTTTAAAAAGAATCGATATGGAGATAGTTTTGCAGTATAAAAAAGAAACCGCTTATTGGAATAATGTTTTGAGAAGAATTATTGCTGCTATTAAATTTATTTCTATTAGAGGACTTTCATTTTTTGGTGATAATGAAAATCTTAATTCATTGCACAATGGAAATTTCCTAGGTATATTGGAATTAATCAGTCTATTTGACCCTTTTTTGGCCAACCATATCTCCGATTATGGTAATAAAGGATCTAGCCACACAAGTTATATTTCATCTTTTACTGTTCGTGAAATTATTTCTCTTATGGCTTCTACTGTTTTAGAAAAAAATTTGTCTGACGTCCGCAAAGCCAAGTACGAGGCGTGTCCCAAAAGTAAGGTCTCCATGCTCCTAGAGCCATAAATAAATAAATTGTTCAAAATTTGGTAACACTGTTGTATAGTGTCGGTCGTACCCTTTCCAACGAGAGGCGGCTCAACTAGATCCGATGTTTAGTTTGCGTCTGACACGCGTTTAAGATGGACGTTTCTATGTCAGCCACCGCCACCTCTATTCCCGTGTATGCTCAATGCGAACTTCGCGCCGTTATTCGATTTTTGCATTCAACGGGTGAAACACCAATATCCATTCATCGAAAACTTTGTCAAACATATGGTACGAGTTGCATGTCTTTAAAAAATGTTAGAAAGTGGTGTAGAGAATTTTCAGGAGGTCGGACGGAAGTTCATGATGAACAAAGAAGTGGAAGACCTTCGATTTCAGACGAGTTGAAAGAACAAATTGAAAGAGAGCTTCGTGAAGATCGACGAGTGACGGTTCGAGATCTCGAACAAAGATTTGAGTTGTCAAAAATCACCATTCAAAGGTTTTTTAATGATATGGGCTATCACAAATGTTGTGCTCGGTGGGTGCCTAAAATGTTTTTATTAAATTGGAAAATATACATGGCCACACATCAGCATATTTGACATTAACAATTTCTACCCTTCTTGAGAAACTTAAACTGGACATAAAAAATTGTGTAGGCCAGTCCTATGATAACGCTTCTAATATGAGTGGCAAATATTCTGGGTTACAAGCTCGTATAAAGGAATTATCTCCAAAGACTGAGTATGTGCCATGTGCAACTCACTCACTCAATTTAGTTGGAGTTAATGCAGTGGAATCATGCACTACAGCTGCTATTTATTTTGGTATCGTTTAGGCCCTTTATGTATTTTTTTCTTCATCCACTAGCAGATGGGACTGTTACGTACGGCCCTTCAGGGATCCAAAAGCTGATGTACTTTTATAAATAACAATAGTCAAATTAGTATAGTAATCAAATGTATTTTATTAAACCAGACAAAATAAGCAGAACAGTCGTGTTGATTGTGTAGTTGAGTGAATTGTAGCTCGTTCTAGAATGATAATCTCCGTGTAATTATGTGTGATGGCTGGCGGCTAAGCGAGTCGTGTGTTGTTCACGTCTCTGGATACATCTACTCAGGCTGTCTCGCTGTCCCCTATATATATGGTGGCGGCGTCCTTTGAAGTAAGCGGCGCGTGTACAGTCGTCCTTGATATGGACCTCACGACTAAGAGTGGTATTCTAGTCGTAAACACTTTTGGGTGTGGTCGCATTCCTGGCGGTTTTTATGAGCAAATACATGATATTACGTAATCCCATTACACCTCCCTACCAAAAAAAAGATTGTTAACCTTTAAGGGTTAAGAATCTTTAACATCGTTAATTAAATAGTTTACAATGGTTGAATTACATTGTTTACATTGATATTTAAATTTTGTATACATGTTGAAATATACAATTAATATGTAGTACATGTAGTCAGCCTTGACACGTGTGTACAATATAGTAACTAGTTATGTACGAGCATAAGACTCACTCTCTTTACGGATGTAACATGACCTCGGTCGTGCATATATATAGGGCCTTTGATGTATGTAATATTCACTTGCACAGGCGTCGTTGTACAGAGCGTATACGATGTGTGTGTACTGTCACAGTTTAATTGTCCAGTTGTACGTTATTATATATTATACTTATACATAATCATATTGTCGTGTTATTACTTATTATATTAATGCTAACATCATTAGTCCGTCAAGCTTCACTTTCAATAGGTTATGGGCCCAGTCAATAACCAAGACATACAGTCTAGTGGATTCATGATCGAAGTATTTTTATATTTGTATTAACGCAGAAAACTACAACCAGTCGGAGATATCCTGGATTTCGGAAAACGGCGGAACAGTGTACATAGGTAAAGTTTTGTTATAAATTGTTATACAGGAAAGTATACGGGAATCCATCGGTCATGGAAGACACGGTGAAGATAACAAAATTATGTGCGGAAAACTGGTCGTTATGGAAGTTCCAGATGAAGGTCATTTTAAAAGCCTTGGAAGTAGGTGAGATAGTTTCAGGCGAATGGACGAAACCAAGTCTACCTATAAAAAAGTCGGCAGGAGAGACCGACGAGGAAGCCAAAGCACGTTGGCAAAGGCATACTAGCGCTTGGCAAAAAGCGGACGGTAAATGTCAGAAAATAATAGTTACCTCAGTGGACGATGGTCCATTACAATATTTGATTAACTGTGAGACTGCATTGGAAATGTGGGAGAAACTGCTGAGTATTTACGAGCAGAAGTCTGAGGCAAGTATACATTTGCTTCAACAACAATTTTTCAGTTATTCAAAAGAGTCGACAGATGACATGTCGACGCATATTTCTAAATTGGTCAATTTAGGAAGGAAACTGAGAGTAGCGGGTGAACCAGTTACGGATAACATGGTTATGACAAAAATACTAATGACACTACCAAAAGAATATAATCATTTTTACAGTGCTTGGGATTCAGTCCCGACGGGAAGTAAAAATATAAATAATTTGACTAGTCGATTGTTGATTGAAGAATCACGGGTTATCCAGATCAAAGGTGAAGTTGGTGAACAAGAGAAATCGAGTGCATTTCCGGCCAAATTTCAAAACAGATCTGATGGAAGAAACGGCAGTCGTAATTATGGAAAAGGTAAAAATCAATTTACTAATAAAAGTAATATTAAGTGTTATTACTGTGGTAAACTAGGTCATTATAAAAGAGACTGTAGAAATTTTCTACAAAGTGTACCCGGTGGTAAAACCGGTACGATAGGTGCGAACTTGATCGCATTCGTAAGCGAGTCAAGTATAAATAATATTACAACAGATGCGTGGGTACTAGACTCAGGCGCTTCGGATCATATGAGCGCGAATCGAGAGTGGTTTTCAAGTTATGAACCACTGGACAACACGCAACAAATCACGATAGGGT